AGCAAATCTCACTGGGATTCATCTCTACCAGGCCGTCGCTCTATTTGGGGATGGCTCAGCCTTGCCGAGGGTCTCGTGAGAGATGGACTGTGGATCTCGATCTCGTCCGTTTCCTGTGTGAGCGGCAGACGCAAATCTGGCCCCAGAGCGAAGGATTCACGGGCTCCAACTCAGCTTCTTGATTGCAGATTCTGGGGGGCAGTGGTTGCTTTTTGAACCTCGGCCTTTGAAACGCGAGTCCCACGATGCACACGACGGCGCACTAGAGCACGAATCCCGAAGCATGAGGTACGCCCGGACAACAAATCGCGCATCCGAGCTTCAAATTCGACCGCCGACACCGTCAATACTTCAGCTTTCACCACCTTCTAGATTCTAGTCTAAGCATCCTTCAAACACCTCAACCCTGAGATTCTGCATTGGAAGCTGAATTCTCCGCAGGCTCAGAGAGACTTACAACCGCGATCGCTCTGGAAGAGAGATGTAAACTGATATAGTTCTCCTTCGAATGGCAACTACAACGAACTACGAGGTTTACCATAGCAGCCCGGGCAGCCGCATGTTATGTTCATAACAAGCAAGCATAAGAACCACAAAAGTCGAAAACGTTTACCACTCTTATTAAAACTCCCTACTCGCTGTCGGCAATGGAGCTGTTGGCATCACCTGATAGTTTGGCAAGGTAGCACGGCCGATGATACTCACAGGTGTGAGAGTCGTTGCCACCTTGTTTTTCTGATGGTGCGGACGACGATCACGGTGATGGCTGTCGTGTTGAAGATCATGGTGACGATAACGAGATGATGACGATGATGATGTGCGGTGGTGGGGTTGAATCAGGTTGAAGATTACGGGCGGCGATGTCTCTTGCGATCCTTGCATTTTCACCCTTGAGTTCTCATCACAGGAGGGGCCTCGAGGTAGGTGGCGGTGGTCTCCAGGCCGCGCACGTTGGAGCCATGGCCCAGCTCGGTCTGAGCCTCGGCGGGGGAAGGTCTCTGCCCCCCCCCCACGGGGGCCAACATGGGCCCTGCAATGCAACAGCACTGACAAAAACACAATGATACGAGGAACTCTATCAGTCTTACAGTGAATTTGCTGGCATTGGTGGTTTAGTATGATTTACTTCATAAACAATAAGACCAGTAAAAATCGAACAGCTCTGGGGTTACAGGGACTGGTGACTGGTGGAAAGGCTACACAAGCTTCCGGGGCCCCGGCATAGCAACCCACCACCTCCCAGGCCTGCGCCCGTGGCAGCCACTGCGCCTGCTGCTCGTCACTGAAAGTTGCCCTGATGTTGGGAATGAACATCAAGGTCCTCAGGTCGAACCGGAATGGGCCAGCTTGAAAACTGGAGGCCCCAAACTTCGATCTCTATGGAGATCCGACTTATCAGTCGTCCTCTGCCTAAATAACGAGCGGAAGACCGTTCAGAACCCGCTGAACCCAAACTCATGCAAGGCAAACTTGGCACTGGCACGGTAGCCCTCACAGTCCCCAAGGCGAGGATTCGAAGGCACCGGACCCTGAAACCACCAAAGCCAGCGTTTTCAAGTCTTTCCATACTTAAAGGATCATGGGACTTAGTAAGTAGGGTTATAATTAGGGTAACTATACTTATAACCCCAATTAAGGGACTTATAACCTTACTTACTAAGTCCCATGATCCTCCAAGTAAGGTCTCGAGCCCGGGCACTGGAGGTCAGTGCCCAGGTCGTCGTGCACGGCACGCCGCAGCTCCACGGGGTCCAGGCCCTGCGAGTGGAGCTCGAGGAGCCGACCTCGGCTTAGGGTTTAGGGTATACGGCTTAGGGTTTGGGGTTTAGGGTTTAGGGTTGTAAGGTTTCAGGGCTTGGGGTTTAGGGTTTATAGGGTTTAAGGTTTAGGGTTTAGGGTTTGGGGTTTAGGAAGTTTAGGATTTAAGGGTACCATAAAATCATCACAACAATAGTGGCCATATCCATGCTGTTCCTGCGGGCTCCGTAACATTATTTGACCATAACATACCATACTGTGCCACAAATGGTATGCTGCGGCGTTCCGAGTCAGGAAACAGCCACTGGTGGTAGGAATCGATCATCATCAGCGCTACAGTACCATGGTCATTATGATCCGCGTTGTATATCATCGTCATTCTCTTTGCAACCTGTACCAGCACTATAAGTAGTGACATCGCCATGCGTGGGCATTGCCACCTACTCTGCCTTGCTTCTCTCTGTGACTTGAAGTTTCAAGCCTGGGATTTCTCCAGGGTCCTAAAGGTCTCTGAGGTGTGAGGGTAAAGGTAGTTCAGTTCAGGCTTCAAGGACTGGGACAGCATAGCCTCAAATGGACCAGTAGTTCCAGCTTGCACAGGGTTTTGCCACTGGATCTGGCCAAGTTTCGCTGCTTTTGCATGGCCCGGCGATATCTCTCAGGTCGGCCCAAGGAGTACCTTGGACTTTCTGTTCAAAGTTCTGACCACGAGTAGTACAGGTTGTAATCATTGTAATCGTCGCTGTCAACACATCCACACCCGTCGCCGTCACCCCTGCGTTGCTGCGATGTTGGTTTGCCGCATGCCCTGCTGCGATGATCCATCGTTCGAATCAGTTCCTGCCCAGCATTCGCGATACAGTGCCTTTGAGGATTGAGCCCTGCGCTAAGACGCGAAGGCTTTGCACCCCAACATTCTTGTTCTCGTCTTTCGTTTGCACGGGGAGACAGGTGTCGTCGGTGTCGTAATACACGGGCCTTAATAGTTCGAATAGGGCTTTGGGGCATATTGTACTGTAATCTTATAAGCAAATTATTTAGGCCCCTATATTGCACAGCTTCCCCCGCCGCAGAGTCTTCGAGTCTTCGGGTCTGGCGGCCTTTGGAAGATTCTTTGCTAGACAAGCGAGGATGGCATCTCGATATACTAAGTAGTAGTAGTAGTAGTAGTAGTAGTAGTAGTAGTAATAGTAGCAGTAGCAGTAGTAGTACTACTACTACGACGACGACTACTACTACTTCTGAGGGGTTCTTAAAATCAGTCGTCCTGCTTTGGGGGGTCTCTCTCTTGCGCTGGGCCTTATTGCATCATGTTCCGCGCACAGTGTGGGATTCTGGGATTCCGGGATTCCGACCGATTGGATGAAGATCTACCCACCCTTCCCCATCAGTATTAGGGCACCTCTTTTCCGAAACTCTGAAAGAGTTATAGAAGCCTCATGAACGGCAAGATGCACATCCGAATTGTCGAAGACCGGGTCCTGAGCCGAGCTAGTGTGCCGTCTGCATTCTGCATACTACGTAAGCCCGCAAGCACTTGAGCAACCGTGAGCACAAACCGGAATTGTAGTTGGCTTTCGGAGCAGATCAGAGCAACAAGACTTCCCCTTCCTGCGATTGCTTGCGACCTCAGGGCAGTGCTGCCTCGACCAGGGCTTCCACTTTCTCCCGCCGCAAGGTCTTCTCCTTCCACTGGTTGGCAGATGTTGGCAGGTTAGGCCAAAACCTGATGGAGAGTGCTGCTGAGACGACAATCGCAAGTCGCTGTCGGTACAGCAGAAATCCAATGCATGTTTCCAGTACTGAACGCTCGCACCTTGCCGCCCTCCAGGACATAGGTGAGCTCACGGGAGTCCTCAGTATATCTAGCACAGTAGCTAGGCACTCTAGGGCTCTAGGATGTGTTTAGGTTCTTTTTCGGCCTTCGTTTCACGAAACTCTGGAAACGATTGGGGCCGGCACGAAGGAAGCACGTGCCCGCTCTTTGTCTAAGGCCGACATCTTGTGAAACCGATCGAACGCACAAACGGGCTACATATGCCGGAATGGGGTGGAAGATCGCATGCATTACATGACTATGTGTGCATTGAAGCATGGCAGGTGCTGCTATACAGGTTCTGGTAGATAAAGCTTTATGTGCAGAAGTGTAATGAAGTGTACGCAGGGTCTGGGAGCATATTCGACTCCGGAAGCTGTGTAAGCCAAAGCTGCATGACAACAGAGACATTGTCCAGGCATCCGATGCTGCTAGTTGTAAGGGGATGCTTGAGCTTGAGACCACAAAGTGAAACATGTTGACAGAGCTTTGCTTCAACTCAAGCCGTCTACGAGCTGTTTCACCCCCACCATCACCAACAACATTAACATCATCATTGTAGATGTTCCGACACGTGTCATCCAAGTGAGCTCCGGGCCCAGGATGGCATGGGAGCAGCAAGGTTAACACATGCAGTGCTACCATGCTGCCCATGTTGGAGGTGTTCAGGCCAATGAAATCCTTGAAAACTAGAACAGAGTTTTGGGAATACCCTAAACCTTAAACCCTAAACCCTAAACCAAACTGGAAATGGCACATTCTAGTTCTATTGGGGACTTCAGGCTTCTACACTACATGACACTAGCAAAGCCGAAACCCTTAACCGGAATGTATCCTCGACCTCGACCCATCAAGATCAAAATCCTGTAGGGCTCCTAATGAAGGTTCGTCTGAGCATTCGTTGAGGCTGTCCGTTCCAGGTAGGGGTTTTCGGCCTTTTTGCTTCGGTCAGGGCGGGCTTTAGGCATTTAGAGTTGAAGGACTTGCTATCACTGCACCCCGTAAACCCTAAACCCTATTCAACTACCTTACGCCCTCAGCACTCCGGAGGGGGAGGGGGAGTCATCGCTCCGAAAGCAACAGCTAGCAGCCTTTGAGGGTGTTTGCTTAAAGGCTTCTATAAGTCTCAGGTAAATGTTTCCTTCTCAAAGGGCAGGCGAGAGGATTGCTTGTTCGTGAGAGCCTGGAGGTTTTCGGCTGTCGGGGTTCCGAGTCGCTTGGTTTGGGGCTTGCTTTAGCGATCGGCGCAAAGTGGTGCATAAGGTTCTGTAAAGGAGTTTAGCGAGTTAAGGGTCAGATTCTTTTCTGGGGTCCTTACTGTACTGAGTTCCCTACGAGACCGGTGCCATGAAAGCTGACCCTAAACCCTAAACCCTAAACCCCTAAACCCTAAACCCTAAACCCTTAGCTCGAAGGAGAAGCAGGCCTCGCATGTGACGATGGTATGCGGGTAGGTGGTCGGCGAAGAAATGAACCTGAGGTGGTGGAACAGGCTTGAGGAATTAGTAAGGATATGGGAGCTTCCGAAAATATGGGTCTCTTATTGTGGGGTCCTTATAACAAGGATCCTATTATTATTATTGCTATTATTATCATTATTATTATTATTATTATTGAGGGTGCTATGTGAGGGTCCCCTGTTTTCGGAAACCCCCATATGCACGCCTTATGCCCGTCACATGTGTAGGCGTTGCACCGGTACAAGTATTTTGGATTATGAGCATCGTCTCTGCCCCGGATTTGGCAACACACTGCAACACGAATGTTCCAATCCTACCAGTAAGGCATGCAGTTCCCACCGAGACGACAAGCAAAACTGGGTGCTTGATCTCCGTAGTCAGCACCAAGAGCCCTGCACCTACATTGCTGTTGCTGCAGAGACTTCCGAAAATCTGGCAGGTACCTAGAACAATGGGTTGGGTTTGGGGAATCTTGTAATCTGACAAGCTCCTTCTTCGGGAAGCGCGAACTTGCGTGGAGGGAAATCATTCCGGGGCAAGGGGCCTCATCCGGCAGGACGGTCTTCGCCAGATACTTCTTGTCCCAGCCTGATGCGAATTGCAAGATGTCTCACTGCCCGGTGCCAGTACGGGCTACCGGTCCCGAGAAGCAGCCTGCATGATCCTGAAGCCTTAGATGAACGACAGACCAGACCAGTTGCCCCCTCGTCAGAAACACTGCAGCGGCAGCAGCACCGGCAGAAGTGGCAGCATCACCAACACTAGTGGAAATGAGGCATCTTGGAAATGGCCGCCATCAGCAGTGAATGGCATCAACACAACCGGCACCATTGCCGCAACTGCCACTGTCATAATCGCTTCTGATCGCCATCATCGCATACCTATCGTCATAGCATACTCATACCGTCTTCAACAACAGACGTGAACACCAACAGCTGAGCATTGATCATCACATCACCACCAGCGTCAGCACTATCATAGCCGGCATCGGCCTCATGACCTGGCTGCTGATGCTGTTCTTCGTGCTACTTGCTAAAACCACTGCCACCACCAGCGGCGGCAGGGGCAGGTGCAACGGAATCTCAGTCGCCGTCGTCGCCATATGACTGGTGGTAGCCCCCGTCATCCTAGTTCTTGTTGCCGGGGTGGAAGCATAAGGAGCAGCAGCGGTAGCGGTAGCGTCCAATGCGGACGGCACCGCAACTGAACCCTTAACTGCCTCCACGCTCAACGATGAATTCGTAGGTTAGAAAAGCCTCCGAACTCTAGAACTCCCAAAGCCGCAAAGCGCCTCAAACCCTGAACCTCCACGCACCGCCCCCAAACCCCTCATAAAGACAGTCCCGGGCCCGGACTGCTGAAGACCAGCCTCTTGGCCTCCAAGCCATCATCCTCGCGGCTATTCAGGCTTTCGTAAAGCCACATACATGCATAAATAAATATATATATATATATATACATACATACATAAATAAATAAATAAATATATATATATATATAAATATATACATAAATAGAGAGAGAGAGATACGCAGCTAGACACGAAGGAATTTGCAAGACAACAGACGAAACAAGGCAGGGTTACAGTACAGGGGATAGGAGGGTTACTAGGGAGCTTTATGGAGGGATATTTGGGAGTTTTGAGTACTGCACAGTGCAAGGTTTATAAGGGTTGTAAAGGGGTCTGAGGGTGTAGTGTGCCGGGTTCAGGGGCGGAGCTTAGTCTACAGCCCGGGCTCTTTTAGGGTTCGGATCTTGTCTAGGAGTTTGGAGTTTGGAGTTTGGATTGTCTTGGGGTTTAGGGGCATTTCTGGGCTTCGGCCCAGGTTTGAGGTCCTGAGGCTCGACCTTCATGGGAAAAACAGGCAGCGCAGCGTGCCAGCAGTTTTGATGACTGATAGTGGCATATAAGCACTGCAAAATATCGGAGGGAGTTGAGGAAATGCTCCACATAATCTAAAGGCCGAAATCTGAGAACCGAGCATGGGGACAGTACCCTAAACAGGGACGCTTATACAACACTGCTGCCACAGGTCGCTGTGTCACTCAGCTCCTGTACGAACTTGCTGTTTAATAGCAGCTTCATGTCAAACACCTCTAAGCTTTTCGTTCACGATGAAGGCCGACACTCCTTCTCCAACTGTTGCATGGTTACTCCGGGTTTACTTTGTGCAGACTGCACTGTGCTGAGTCCGTAAGCCTAAGCGCTGAACACTAAAAACCATAATCCCTGAATCCAGAATTCCTGAAACCTTCAATCCGAAGTACCATTGTAAGGCAAACCACCTTCGAGTGTTTGACTCCCTGGACGTCAACTGAATGGAGCTACACGGCGGTCATGCAGGAAATTGCATGCGGTATGCATAGTTCGTTGATTCTGACTATGGATCCGACTGCTTCGGGAATGCACTTCAAACTTTGACCGGGTTCCTACACTATTTACGAGACCCAGGCGAAACTCATGTCTTTTGCAATTTGCAATGGTAGAAGCAAATTCTGACACCGTCTTTATGCAGCACAGTGCCTTCTGCAACGATGCCAACTTACCCCTGTGCATCGAAGCCGGTGTGCCTGGTTGCTCGTGAGTGGGGCGTTGCAGATGGAGTGCAGGAAATCCTCATCCATGACCTGACGTTCCACGCAGATTTCACGTCCGCGCCCAGCTAAAACACCATCCATGCGTGATATATGGGGCCTTAATAATTAGAATAGGGTTTCGGGGTTCCTTAGTATAAGTACAGTATACTATAGCCCCAAAACCCTATGCTACTTATTAAGCCCCCTATATTAGCCCTCCTGGCCCTCGGAGCTCCGGAGCTCCAAGACCTAAGCCTTTTGAGAAACCGAAGGCCACATTGGCGAAGTGCCCCCCCCCCCCCCCCCCCCCCCCCCCCAACACAAACCCCTTGTTTCTCCACAGCTTGCAAAACGGTGATGTCTTCGGGCCCTCGTTGGAGGACGGGTGCATCTCCCAGGCACTCGGGCCCTCGAGGAGCCCAGGGCCTAAAACCCTGGAGCTCTAACACGTAGTGGAATTCCCTCACGGCTTCACACACTCAAGGGGCCATGACCGGGCTAAACCCGAACCCTACCGTCCCATACGCTTGCAACTGAAGCCAACAAAAATCGGAGAGCAGCAGTCTGAAAATCAGCCCAGGTCGACGTGGGTGGTGTTGCTAAGCTTTGCGGCCTTACCATTATGGAAGCAGCTGCTTGGGATCCATAATATAGGTAGTTCTCTAAATTAGGGTCCCTTTGGGGGTCTTCTTCATAAGGGTGCCGTACTATGTCGGAGACCCCAAAAAGGGACCTTAATTTAGAGAACTACCCATATTGGAGTACCCCCATGTTCTGAAACTATTCACAAGTCATCGGCCTTTGGTATCTCACCTCCCCTGTCACCTGGACCCTGCTGATCTGACAGGATTCAAGCGTTCCCGAGGCGATCCCCAGCAAAGCCAGTCGACAAGAGCAGATCGTGCCACCATCTCTGAACAGCAAGACCCTGCCCTCAGTGACCCCTACCTACCCTTACAATGTTCAGCACTTGCGGGCATAATGATGGTGGCACCCCTCGTCGGCACAGGCACATGTGCTGGGAACTCGGGTTGTCCAACATGCTGTGCATTCGGGTGGCGCCTCACTGCAGTACAACAATTAGTTGGGGCTACCGGCTAGGGTGAGGAAGCACGCAAAGGTGCGGCACCCGGCCAACAAACGGCACAAGTCCAAAAGCAAAGCGCCTGCCCAGGCTTGGGTCCTTGAGTCCTTGGTGTCACACCAGTGGCCCCGTCGTCCCAACAACAAGCTCTCTTCAGGCACTGAAATGTTGAAAATTTCCAGACAAGATGTCACTTGAAACACAGAAGGCCCTGTGAGTCTCAGCACGAGTCATCCAAATCCCATGTCCGATGACTACTTGGAGGATCATGGGACTTAGTAAGTAAGGTTATAAGTCCCCTAATTGGGGTTATAAGTATAGTTACCCTAATTATAACCCTACTTACTAAGTCCCATGATCCTTTAAGTAGCAAAGTTCACAGTCCTTATGGCGACTCAAACCGAGGCACCGAAGCACGGCAGTCTGCACCAACAATATAGAGAGCCGTTGCACTTGACAGCAACAGCTGCCGAAACCCGGTTGCCGAGTTGGCACCTGGGTTTCACGTCTGACAGCGTTCAAGTTGCAAAAGAACTGTTCCCGAGGCGATCCCTAGCAAAGCCAGCAGCGCAGGCGACATCGCAGTTCTCAACAGCAAGAATAGCCGATGTGTGCGCTCGCACCCCGCTCTTAGTGATGCTTGGACACTGTCTACAAAGTCTTCAGCACTCTTTGGGCATAATGATGGTGGCGCCGCTCCTTCCTTGCCAGGTGGCCAACAGTACCGTAGGTCCGAAAGCCCATGGCTTGCCTCAAGCCAGATCCTCGGTGTCACACCAGAGGCCCCCCGCCGTGCCGCAAACCACGAGCTCTCTTGAGACATGTGGGGGTTTCCGAAAATAGGGGACCCTAATACAGTACCCTAAATAGTAGGATCCTTATTCTCAGGAGCCCAAAATAAGGTTCCCCCTATTTTCGGAAACTCCCATGTTGAAAGTCCGCTCTAGTTTGAGTGCAAGGGGAGCAGCCTGCCACCTGTGGGTTTGTGACCAGTTAGGGGCAAGCTGGAATGCCCTCGCAGCAGTAAAACAGAAAAAAGCTGAGCACGATATAGTAAGAGCAGCTAGAACCTTTCTCCCCGGTCCGGTCTGCATCCAAAGAGAACCGCCGGAGTGCAACAGTCTCAGACTGTGCATGGTGCTGCATCCAATCTTGCACAGCTGAAGCAGTCTTGCACAGGCAACCCAGATCGAAAAACCTTCCAGACTGCAACATTTACATTCGCACACGCACACGCAAAGGTTGTATCCGTGTGGGCGTATACGAATTACATGTGTGTGTGTGCATGAATGCACGCATGTACTTACGTCACGTACGCACCTGTGTATGTAAGTATGTATGTACGTACTGTATGTATGTACGTATGTATGTATGTATGTATGTATGCATGTACGTATGCATGTATACATACGTACATACCCAATTACGTAGGCAGGTAGGTAGGTAGGTAGGTAGGTAGGTAGGTAGGGAGGGAGGGAGGGAGGTAGGTAGGTAGGTAGGTAGGTAGGGTAGGTATGTATGTATGTACAGAGAAGATTGCACAAGCGAGTAAGTAGGTAGACAGCAAAGTATATCGGTCGACACATGCATTTGTCTACTCAAGAATGCCTTTTGGAGGCACCAGCCGGGCCCCAACATGGCGGCCGCGGCGGCGTCTCTGCTCGAAGCTGCGCCTTGGCAATGCAGGGTGTACTCCCCCTTCCCGGCTGACGGTTCAGCCCCCTAGTACGAGGAGTCGTCCGCTTCTTGGTGCCAGCCGGTAACGGTTGAGTCAGCTCGGGAAGCTCTTGGAAGGCTCACTGCCTGTTGGCTCCATGAACCCATCACCAAGCGTCAACAGCTCAAGGCTTGAACTCTCCTTATCAAGCTCGCTTGAATCTCCAGACTCCAAACCAGTCGAGGAGGGACAACCTGGCTTTGGGCCCTTGCTGTTGTGACTCGGCGCAAGGAAGGGTCGAGCTGGGGTTGGGATGCAGTGAGTCGACGCCTTTCAATGTGAGTCTGAGCTCTACCCCAGCATCGTCGTCCTGGGGTGGAGGTAATATTCGGGACGGGAACTTTGACTTTAACCTGGCCGACATCAGTGCTTGGTTGGCCTGAAGCGAGAGACCCAGGTTCGTTCGTTCGTTCGTGCGTCGAGTTTAGGGATGCTCAAAACTTTGGGGGCTGGGGACTGCCCCCCGCCCGCCTCCCCCCCCCCCCCACTCCTCCCTCACACCTGCGGTTTTCAAGCTCCAACTTCAGTTCTTCAGGGTCCAGGGCTTCGCTGCTTTGTGCATAATCTTCCTGCAACAGCTCGGTGCTTTTGTTCGTAGGGTCCAGCGGAAGGGGTTGAGACGGCCGGATGAAGGTCGCTGTGCCAACCTGGTGCTGCAGAAATGCATTTGGCACAGGCAGGAGGGGTCTTCACGGTTTCGATCATGTTCGGAACAAAGGACACCTGGGTTGTGTTTGCCGGTTCATGTCGCTGAGCGGTTTCTCCGATTACTGGGGGGAGCGAGCCTAGGCCCCAGGCTTTCCATTCCGGGTTGGCTTGATGCTTCTCAGCCACAGCGCGGCTGGCAGGGCCAACGAAGCTGGGGTCGGGGTATCTGATCCCTGGGCACAGATTCGAAACCCATCGGAACCCAGAATCCAAATGGTGTAAACCACAAGTGCTAGAAGCTTAACATATCACCTTTCAGGGAAATTCGCATTCCATCATCAGAGGACAACTGTGCATGCTTTCAGACATGAGAAGTTGACTTCACATTGACAGGGTCTGAGAGGTTGCTCGTGATCCAGCCCTTGAGGCCGAGATCCTTTAACCCGAAAGCCGATGCTTGAATGCTTAATTACAGCTTCCACCCGATGCGACCGCCCAGCCTTGTGAGAAGCTTTGTGGTTTGATCGAGGTGCAACGTCAAGTCAAAGCCTCGGAAGGGTAAATGTACCAGCCACACCCAAAACTGTGCTGAGAAACCTCTACACCTGAGCTTTACAAGGCTTTAGATCGCAAAGCCTCAAAAGTCAAGTGCAGTGTGATCCCATCAAGGCAGCCGCCATTTACTTCAAAAACTTCCTCAAGCGCCGCTGGCTCGTCACCGGGGGACTCCCGGTTGCCGAGCGAGAGGTGGGGGGTTCCCAACGTTTCCCGGCGGGAGGGTTGGTCAGTCAGGTCTAGACTGGCATGTATGCATCCCGAGCAGAGTTATTCGAGAAGCTGCTCCAATACAAAAGGCAGCCGCCGAACTGACATATTTGATCGCCAATACCTGCATGATATCATTATTGGGGCTCACCGAGCGAACTTCTGGGGTTTAGGTCATTAGTGACCCACTGCAACGCCGTACAGAGTGTTTTTGGACCTCTGAATATGACAGGAAGCAGCTAGAGCTTGGATGTTCATATCGCGAGCCCCGAACTCGAGTGAGAAACTCCAAGTTCATATTGGCTTCAAACTGCTCTCAACTCCAGAGCTGCCACTTAGACCACAAGAGCTTTTGCCAGGCTCTCCGAGAGGCGCTGGTCCCGGCCGCCGTGGCAGCGCCACACGGCGCGCGAGCGTCTCTCTGCGCGGGCGTGGAGGCTCGCTGGTTTCTGAACAGTTCGGCTCGGGTGCTTCATCGCTGCGAGGTTTCTTCTTGTCTGTGCCTTGTCACTGCAGATGGGCAGAGGGTCTTGACGGTGGCACCTAGAATCGAGACCGGTCTTCAGGGGAGGCGGTCGTTGACTTAGGAAGTTGAGGGTCAGTACGGTACTTGCAGCGAAGTTGTGCAAAGCTTCTGAATGCGAGGGCCTGAACCCAGTCCGCAACGCCGTTGCTCGTAAGACAGTAGTAACAGTAGTAGCGTGATCCCAAAGTGATCCCAAAGTGATCCCAATTGGGCCTCCCAGGAGCTGTCGCTTACGGACTTTCCAGAGCGATGGCCCGCGCTTCTGGCACAGCTGGCCTCGGCCCTGCACACAGAGGAGCCGCGGGCCCTGT